GAATGAAACGTAATTGTACACCTAACCATTAACTGTACTCCACAAAACCATAATAAAAAATATTGATTATGAAAAAAAAAAAAAAAGAAATTCCTTCTGCCAGATATCCTAGTTCGTCACTCTCAAGTTCAGCCTTCCACAGTCGTCAAACATGGATATGGTTCAGCTAAATTCTTTGCCAATTTATAACAAAGATAGCCTTTACTCCAGTTTCCAATACTTTGTTCCTCAGTTCCATCTGAAACTGTCAGAATTTTTGTTTGTTTTTTTGATACAAGGTCTTGCTCTGTCATCCTGGATGGATGGTATCATAGCTCACTGTAACCTTGAACTCCTACACTCAGGTGATCCTCCTGACAGCCTTCTGACTCAGCTAGGACTACACGCACCACCATGCCCAGCTAATTTTTAAATTTTTTCTTCTAGAGTTGGCAGGGGGGGAGTCTTGCTATGTTGTCTAGCCTGATCTCGAACTCCTGGCCTCAAGTGGTCCTCCCATCTCAGAATCCTAAAGTGCTGGGACTACAGGCATAAGCCACCATGCCCAGCAATCTTCTTGCTGGTGAGAGTCCTGCGGTGGCACAGGGAATCAATCACATGGTAAGGGGGCTGAGTGTAAAGTATTTATTAAGTTGGTGGACTGAGCTGGTGCTGCAGGTATGCACATAATTGCACAGAAATTAGATTAGAAAATAAAGTTTATTCAGAAAGTTAGATGAGAGAGAGAGAGAGACAGACAGACAGAGGAGATCCACCTCTCCAAGATTAGAGAGGGGGCCAGAGGTTTAAAGAAAGCATGGCAGTGAATGCTTAAGGTTGAGGGCTTTTTTTTTTTTTTTTTTTGAGTTGGAATCTCACTCTGTCACTCAGACTGGAGTGCAGTGGCCGCTCCCGGCCACCGCAGCCTCAACCTGCTGGGCTCTGGCGATCCTTCCGCCTCAGCCTTCCAAGTGGCTGGAACTACAGGCGCGTGCTACCATGCCCGGCTAATTTTCTGATTTATTGTAGGGATGAGGTCTTACCAAGTTGCCCAGGCGGGTCTCGAACCCACGGGCTCAGGCAATCCACTCACCTCAGCCTCCCAAAGTGCTGGGATTACAGGCTGAGCCTCCAAGCCCGGCTCAGATTGAGGGCTTTTAAAGTGTTTGGTGGGGTGTGGGAGGCAGGCAAGTAGTCACAGGAGCTGATGTCATGATGATGGTCTGTTTCTCTATCTCTGACAGCAGATGGATGGGGAGGTCAGTCAGGAGCACATAGATCAAGGTGGGCTGGTAGTTGGAAGGGTGAGTCATTTACACAGAAGGGATGGACTGATAGCTGAAAGACAATTCTTGGGAGATGTTAATCTTTTTTTTTTTTCAGTTGGAGTTTCACTCTGTTGCCCAGGCTGAAGTGCAGTGGAACACTCACGGCCACCGCAGCTTCAACCTGCTGGGCTTAGACAGTCCTTCTGCCTCAGCCTTCCAAGTAGCTGGGACTACAGATGCATGCCACTATGCCTGGCTAATTTTTTGTGATTTATTGTAGAGATGAGGTCTCACCAAGTTGCCCAGGCTGGTCTCGAATCCCTGGGCTCAGGCAATCCATTCACCTCGGCCTCCCAAAGTACTAGGATTACAGGCTGAGCCACCATGCCTGACCTGGAGATGTTAATTTTAAAGACAAATTGGGAGATGTTAATGTCTTGTGACTTGCCCAGGGTTCGGGGAAAGGATTATTGTCGTGTATGAGCTCAAGAAGACCAGAGAAACTCCATTTTGGGCTCTGTTCTTTCAGAATTTTAATTTTTAGTGTTATTTTAAGACTTTTTTTTTTTTTAAGACAGGATTTCACTCTCAGGCTGGAGTGCAGTGGCATAATCACAACTCACTGCAGCCTTGAACTCCTGGGCTTGTGATCCTCCTGCCGCAACTTCCCGAGTAGCTAAGACTACAGGCACGCACCACAATGCCTGACTAAATTTTTTATTGTTTAGCATAAACAAGGTCTTGCTTTGCTGCCCAGGCTGTTCTTGAACTCCTGGCCTCAAGTGATCTTCCTGCCTTGGCCTCCCAATGTGCTGGGATTACAGGCGTGAGACACTGTGCCCAGCAATTTTGAGACATTTTAACTATGAAGAATTTCAAATATACACATGAAGAGAGAAAACTGTATAATGTGGGCTGAACAAATAAGTGAATTATACAAAACAGCCCCCTGCCGAAATACTTGGAACTTTTGTTAAACCTGCTCTTTCACCGAGTTTGCTACAGGTGAGGATGTTTGTAGGAAATTGATAGTGCTTTGAGTTTTGTCCTGGACCTGCAATGTTCTGGCTGTACTTTATCACCTAGGCCCTCATCATCATTGTGCCTTGAGTGCCCACTCTCTGCAGACTGTAAATACCAGGGGCACTGGTAGATATAAATGAGTAGAAATGAGTGTAGATGCCCTTTCCTAGTTATAGACATACAGGAATGAGCTTGGGATGCAAAGTGGTCTTTGTGCCTAAGAGTTTTACTCTGGTTCAGCAATTGCCTGAGCTGCACTGTTGTCCTGAAGGTAGTCACTTTGAGCACAGGTGTTGGATACTGGATGATACCTAGAGGAGGATGGGAAGATGAGTTGCATAGACAAGTATTACTGTAGGAATTCAGAGGAAAAATTCATCCAGATTGGGAAAGTCAAAGGCGGCTATTCTCAAGGAATGTGGTGCTGACTTTGCCCTGCTTCTATTGACCTTATGTTTGATCATTATGCCTATTCCTAAATGGAAAAAGACAGCTGATGGTCAGTGAATACCCTGGGGTGGTTGCCTTCCAGAGCTAAATTACACTCTGAACTTCTTTTAGCTGTAAGACAACCTGTGCTAGAGAAGACTTTAGGTGGAAGGCCTCGTGGCTCTAAATTAGTTTTATGTGGGGAGAGAGCTACCCCTAGTGGGCTTGTGTGAAGCATACTCTGAAGGCTACTTTTCTTTATCCTTACCCAAAATGAGATGCTTTGTTTTTGTGTATTTTGTTTTTTCCTATGATTTGGGCCTCATGTAGACCTTAGCTAATAATACAACAGGATGGGGAATGTATCTATTCCCCAGATTCTCAAGATGAGAAACTAATTGATTCTCAGGGTTTTTTTTTGTAACCAAATACATATGACTATTTCCTTTCTTCTGTGTTCTGATATTTGAATTGGGTCTGAAATTAGGACAGTAGTCAAGATTCTACAGAAAATGGAGTGCTTTGGGACCTAAATTGAGGGTAAGGCCTTGAGGGAGTATTAATATGGGGATATAAACAAAGGAACTCACAGTAAACATGCTTATTGGAGATAATCTCTGCTCTGAAATACTTGATTCATGAAGAAATAGATGAATACAGTGGTGTTATGACCTACAGTTTTACTCAGATAAGACTGGAGGGGATGAAACCCCTAGTATGCCTAGCATTGTAACCATATTACAGAATTTTTGCCTTCCCCAGCAGTAGACCAGAAGAATTATTAAGAAGCTTCTGACATTAAGGAGTACTGCCATGTAGCAGGGACTAACAAGTACTACACATACCTTCTTTCATCTAACCCTCAGGTTAAACAGTTGCCCAAGTTTAAAAAAAACTCTGAAAGAGGACTGGGTTTTGATTCCAGGTGGTCTGACTTCAGAGTCTTGACTTCTCTATGTGGCTGACTCTGAGTTGTCTACCTTTCTCTTGAGTATTGTTACACTGTTTTTCAAGAATGGAGGTTCATTTGCTGAGTATATAGCCAAAGATACAAAAGAGCCATGTTTCTTTTTGTTTCAACCTTGGAAGTCTTCTAAGTCGATGTTTTTAATAAATTAGTTACTACTTATTAAGTACCTAGAGTATTTTCACACCTGTGATACAGTATATCCAGACCTTATGACAACAATGTAACACAAATACCTATGTATATGAATGGTTTTTTGTTTTTTGTTTTTTGGAATCAGCAGTCTTTATTGGACTCAGACTAGGAGGCTGTGGATCTTGAGAACATCTGTGTATGTGTCAATCTTCTTCTCCACGTTCTTTTTTGCCTGTTTCCGTAGCCTTGTGAGCTGTTTCTTCTTCCGAAAGTGCAGCCAGGTACTTTAACTTGTTCCTGTAGAAATTGCCAGAAATGTTGATGTCCTTGCAGCGCACGACTACTACCTTCTGCCCCAGCAGTACCTGCTTGGCCATGATGGCCACAAGGCAGCCCAGGAGATGGCTTTGGCCATCCAGCACCAGGACCTGCCCCTCTGCCGCCTTCGGCAGTCACCTGGGAAAAGCTATGAATGGCTTTTAATCTTTTCAGGTTCACAACCTTTATTGAGAATCTGACGATAGCTCTGAATTTTCTTTCTAGAATTTACTTATGTATATATACATGTATTGTCCATAACCCTAGAGGCAGCTTCTAGGTCCTACAAAGCCGATCCTCTAGCAGTCCATAGACTCCAGGGTAAGAACTCTTGACCTATACAAACTTTTGCAGCTAATTCTTTTACAGTATTAAGAGGATGGGGTGGGGGGGGAGTGGGGGTGGTGGTGGTGGGGAAGTGGGAGTCTTGCTTCCTTTCTTCTCAGAAAGAAATGTTTAAAAACTTTGGCTCCCTAAAGTAACCAAGTATCTCTGAACATTCTTTCTTTCTCTTTTGTATATAGGATTACAAGGGAAGAATGCAGACAATCAAATATGTGGTTGTAGGAGATGGGGCTGTAGGTAAAACCTGTCTCATTAGTCATACAACAAATGCCTTTCCTGAGGAGTTTATACCCACTGTCTTTGACAACTATAGTGCCCACACATTTGTGGATGGCCAGATCATCAGCCTGAACCTGTGGGACACTGCTGGCTAAGAATAGTGTGACCGACTGTTAACTCTCTCCTACCCCCAGACCAATATCTTTGTCATTTTTCTTTGTTCTTGAGTTGGAGTCTCACTCTGTAGCCCAGGTTGGAGTGCAGTCGCATGCTCACAGCCACCCCAGTGTTGACCTGCTGGGCTCAGGCGATCTTTCCGCCTCAGCCTTCCAAGTAGCTGGAACTACAGGTGTGCACTATCATGCCTGGCTAATTTTTTGATTTATTGTAGAGATGAAGTCTTGCCAGGTTGCCTGGGCTGATCTCGAACCCGTAGGCCCAGGCAATCATCTCATCTCGGCCTCCCAATGTTCTAGGGTTACAGACTTGAGCCACTGCACCCAGCCGTCATTTGTTTTTCTATTGGCAACCCATCCTCTTATGGCAGTGTGAGGCATAAGTGGCAGCCAGAGGTCTCCCATCATTGCCCCAATGTACCTGTTCTGCTGGTAGGCACCAGGAGGGACCTGCGGAGTTACCTTGACACAGTAAAGAAGCTGAAGGAGCAGAACCTAGTGGCCATGACTCCTCAGCAAGACACTCCACTGGCTAAACAGATGGGGGCTGTGGAGTATCTGGAATGTTCAGCCCTGATTCAGGATGGAGTGCATGAGGTATTTTCAGAAGCTGTCCAGGCTGTGCTTTACCCTGTCACCAAGAAGACCACCAAAAAGTGCGTCCTTTTATAGCTTCTGGATACTATTTGGGTATTGAACCTAAGGAGTATAAGGCTGAGGGGTTCCTTTCACAGCAGCTAAGAGTGCCAGTGTGAACCATTTGTCTCCTCTAGAAACCTTAGACTTCAGGATATTCAGCTTTTGGAGGAACGAAGACAGACTAGTTTGTATAGAGCTGCTTTAAGGTTTGGTCTGAACTTTTTGGAGGAAGTTTGTGTGCATGTGCATATGTGCATGCATGTATGTTTCCACTGTCAAAGCAGTAAGAAGAGATGCCACCCAGTGCTCTTCTTTTCTTTCCTGACCAGGCTATGATTATGCAGAGTGGCCTAGTAATCGTTCTTTGTAGGTATTTGTCTGTCTGTCTGCTTTTAAATCTAATTTCACCTTTCCTTTTGACTACTGAACAAGTGCCTCACAGAAGGACAAGTTTATCGTTTTTAAATCATTGCCTTAAACATTCTGATATACTATCTTTTGAAAACATTTTATGTGTGATTCCTGGGTATTCCCAGTGTTGACAGGTTCCTCCCATTCTTAAGATGAGACATTTTTCACAAAAATGGTTAAGCAGCATTTTCCAAAGTTCTGTGAAATAGTAATAGATGTTCCTTAAAAGGGATCTGTCGCTGGGCATGGTGGCTCATGCCTGTAATCCCAGCACTTTGGGAGGCAGAGGTGAGAGGATTGCCTGAGCCCAGGGGTCTGAGACCAGCCTGGGCAACTTGGTGAGACCTTGTCTCTACAATAAAAATTTTTTAAAAATAAAGAATTGGGCTGGGCTCGGTAGCTCCGCCTGTAATCCCAGCACTTTGGGAGGCTGGGGTGAGTGGATGGCCTGATCCTGCAGGTTCGAGACCCGCATGGGCAACTTGACGAGACTTCATCTCTACAACAAATCAAAAATTAGCCGGGCGTGGTAGCGCGCACCTGTAATTCCAGCTACTTGGAAGGCTGAGGCAGAAGGATCACCAGAGCCCAGCAGGTCGAGGCTGTGGTGGCTGGAAGTGACCACTGCACTCCAGTCTGGGTGACAGAGTGAGACTCCAACTCAAAAAAATAAATAAATAAAAATAAAGAATTGTTTAAAAAAGGGGAGGGGGTCATGAGCTCAGGAGCCAGCTATTTAAGTAAAATTGAACAGGTTCTTTTAAGGCAAGTCTTTATAACTTAATATGTATGTAATATTTCCCAAACTTATTTCACCACTGATTTTTTTTTTTTTGGTCTCATGCATCACCTATTAATATCTCTGGTGACACAGTTTCAGTGAAGTTAGGTTAATGGGAACTAGGAATTCCCAAGGAGGAGGCTATTAAAAAAAAATCAAAAAGCATAATGTAGTCTTGTTCTTTTTTGATATTTCCCTCTTCATGCCTTTGGGACAAGTATTTCAGTATAAACTTGTTATTGGGTGCTCTGCTTCAAGAGATGGATCTGGCACTTGGTCATGATAGTGCATTGGAAGTAGGATTTGACAGTCTAATCTGCTGTCAGATTCTGATGGCACTATGGACCTGGTGATTTGGACTTATTATCAATCCTCCCAAAAAGCGCTGTGTCTGAGTCTTCTGTGTGGCCCCTTTTCCTCTGTCACTTTCTTTTCTTTCATTTTTTTGAGTCAGAGTCTCTCACTCTGTCACCCAGGCTGCAGTGCAGTGGCATGCTCACAGCCACCGCAGCCTCAACCTGCTGGGCTCAGGTGATCCTTCCACCTCAGCCTTCCAAGTAGCTGGAACCATAAGGGCATGCCACCACGCCCGATCTCCAGCACCTGGGCTCAGGCAATCCTCTTGCCTCAGCATCTTAAAGTGCTGGGATTACAAATGTGCACCACCATGCCTGGTCCCTGTTGCTCTTTGACAAGTTATTGTTAGAGTAGCCTCAAGCTAACTGAACCTCTTGGATAGGGTCAACAGATAAAATACACAATGTCCTATTAAATGTGAACTTCAAATAAACAACAAATAATTTTTTAGAAATATATTTTTAGTATAAGTATGTACCACACAATATTTGGGACATACACTAAGAAACTACTATTTTTCTGAAATTCAAATGTAATGGGGTGTCTTGTATTTTTATTTGATAAATCTGGCAACTCTTAGAGACTCTGGAACCTGGAGGTCAGGCAGATATTAAATATTGCTAGCCGGGCTCGGTGGCTCAGCCTGTAATCCCACACCTTTGGGAGGCCGAGGTGAGTGGATGGCCTGAGCCTGCGGGTTCGAGACCCGCCTGGGCAGCGAGACCTCATCTCTACAATAAATCAAAAAATCAGCCGGGCGTGGTAGCGCATGCCTATAATTCCGGCTACTTGGAAGGCTGAGGCGGAAGGATCGCCGGAGCCCAGCAGGTCGAGGCTGCGGTGGCCGGGAGCGGCCACTGCACTCCAGTCTGGGTGACAGAGTGAGACTCCAACTCAAAAAAAAAATAAATAAAATAAATAAATAAATAAATATTGCTAGAGACAAAAGGTCATATAAACTCCCAATTTTCCCTCCTTTTCTTCTGGTTCCTCTTTTCCTTTGGTTCCCCTTTTCCCTCACCATGGACTAGAGTGTTTTGCTTTTCTTTCATCACTGTACCCTCCACTTCAGACAGTTCTTTGCTGGTGCATATTTTGACACCATTGTTGTCTAAAGCTACAGAGGGTCCAGGTTGGACAGCATCACCCAGTATATGGTGTCTCAATTTCTTTCTTTTTTTTTTTTTGAGTAGGAGTGTCTGTCACCCAGGCTGAAGTGCAGTGACACGCTCATGGCCACTGCAGCCATGACCTGCTGGGCTCAGGTGGTCCTTCCACTCAGCCTTCCAAGTAGCTGGAACGACAGGCACACGCCACCATGCCCGGCGAATTTTTTGATTTATTGTAGAGATGAGGTCTCGCCAAGTTTCCTAGGCTGGTCTTGAACCCATGTACTCAGGCAGTCCTCTCACCTCAGCCTCCCAAAATGCTGGGATTATAGGCATGAGCCACTGCTCTTGGCCTGCTGTTTCAATTTCAATGTACTGTATGTATCTATTTTCTGGTGTGTGACCCAGGGTCCCCTGAGGGGGATGTAGGGTTTCTGTCTGTAGTACGTTAATTGGAAGAGAGCATGGGTGGCCCTCCTCACCTAAGGCCCAGTAGCACTTTGGAAAGTAGGGCTGCTACAAGGGGACTTAAAAAAGTTTGTGGAAAATTTGAACTAAAAGATTAAAAAAACAGAAATTTTATTTCTCAATGTAAACTCTATCAAGCTCAAGACACATTTATAACCAATGACAGCAGCCATTTACTCCATCCCTAAAGAACTGAGTGTTCTGGGAATTTTATCATGTCAGTACAGACTTTTTTACATTACTGAGGAAAAATGGGCACCCTTTATAGATTATTTTTCTCTTCAGTCAGAGTCTCATGCTGGAGTGCAGTAGCATAGTCACGGCTCATGGCTTACCACAGCTTCAACCTCCTGGGCTCAGGTGATCCTTCTGCCTCAGCCTCTTGAGTAGCTGGGAGTACAGGCACACACCACTATGGCAGGCTAATTTTTGTATTTTTTTTGCAGAGATGAGGTCTTTCTACATTGCTCAGGCTGGTCTTGAACTCTTGGGCTCAAGCAATTCTCTTGCCTCGGCCTCCCAAAGTGCTGGGATTATAGGCATGAGCCACCGTACTCAGGGGCTCTTTTTTTGTGTGTGTGGACAATATAGTTTATTTAAAAAGTAAGTTAGAGAGAGAGATAGTCACCTCTCCAAGGTAGGAAAGGGGGCCAAAGCTTAGGAAAACATGGGGGCGGCCATAGCTCAAAGAACACATGGTCACACCAGAATTTAGTAGAGCAATGGCCAGGGCTCTTTTCAACCTGATGTCTTATCCTTCTTAGTGCCTCAAAGTAGATCCTGTTCAGACGTTATAACAAGTTAGTACAAGTTTATTTTTATGCAAAAATGTTTGAATTCCATGCATAGTTTTTTGCGTAATACACATTTTCCATGAACTTTTCAAAGTCTCATATTGTAGTAGTGTGGTAACTACAGGAGTCAATCAGCCTGTGGGCCTGTTTTCCCACAGGCAGCCAAATGAAAGCACCTATTGCTCAAGCATATTCCAGTCTCAGGATGTTCTGATTGATGCTGCCTGGGATGCTTACAGGACTTCATGGTTAAAAGGGGCTAGACACATGGCTGTCACACCTGTGGGGCTGTCTCCGACAACCTTGATTACCTACTGAAATCTTTTAAAGTAGCTTTTAATAGTGCCCCCCACTCCTCTTTTGCCTGGCAAATTCCCAAATGTAAGTCTGGGTCTTGTTTGGGCAAACTTGTTTCCTCCAATAAATGGAGGTGTGATCCCCAAGTCTAAGAGAGTGGGAGTCTTTTTTGTATTGATTTGATTTGATGGTTGTGAGCATACACTGACATCTTGATTTTTATATTTAAAAGGAATTTGTATGAACATCAACTTTCTGATAGCACGTTGAAACTACTCATACTCGCCAGGCATGGTAGCTCATGCCTGTAATCCCAGCATTTTGGGAGGCGGAGGCGAGAGGATTGCCTGAGTCCAAGGGTTCAAGACCAGCCTGGGCAACTTGGCAAGACCTCTTCTCTACAATAAAAAAACAAAAAACATTAGCTGAGCATGGTGGCACACACCTGTGGTTCCAGTTACTTGGAAGGTCGAGGTGGAAGGATCATCTGAAAGCAGCAGGTTGAGGTTATGGTGGCTGTGAGCATGCTACTGTATTCCAGCCTGGACAACAGAGTGAGACTCCTACTCAAAAAACAAACAGGCCGGGTGTGGTGGTTCAGTCTGTAATCCCAGCACCTTGGAAGGCTGAGGCGAGATGATTGCTTGAGCCCAGGGGTTCGAGACCTGGGCAACTTGGTGAGACCTCATCTCTACAATAAATCACAAAAAACACCTAGCTGGGTGTGGTGGCATGTGCCTGTAGTTCCAGCTACTAGGAAGGTTGAGGTGGAAGGATCATCTAAGACAAGGCTGCGGTGGCTGTGAGTATGCCGCT